GGGGCTTCCAAATCAACAAAATCTTGCCACGATCTTACGCACATGCACGCCCGCACCGCAGTTGGACTCATGCTATGCCGAAAGTCGATCATCATGTGCCTTGCCAATAAAAAGGCCCTCTTCGAATCCACGGATGTTCCCGGTATGGCCAAATAATCACGAGCCATGCGCGCAACAATGGAATAATCAAACGCCTTAACGCACCACCATTCCTTGAATGTGGATATGGTTCCAGGAACTTTAATCCTCGGCTCACGAAGGTACTTGGTGAGCTTTTCCAAGGGATTGGTGGGCACATCATCGTCTTGCACACTAAAGATCCACCCCAAAAAAGAGGATGTATCTCGAGCAACTTCATTGTTTTCAACATCGCACATGTTCAACATCTCACCCTCCCTTCTCATACTCGACATTGCACCTCTTAACGCACTCCTCCACTTTCTCAACACTCACGTGCCCGCCTCCTTCCGAAGCACCCGCGGCATAGTACCCAAGGTTAAAACGCAGGTCTACCACGGTTGCCACGGTGTATTCCACGGAGGAGTGATTGTAGTACATTTTTTAACTTCTCAAGACCTTACTTGCATGCATCGGCAAATTCCCCTCTCGCGTAGATCACCGCTTCCAACTTGTCCATGAGTTTGTTCACCAACGGTATCCACAAGGATACCGTCGCGTACTTGGACGCTTCCAAATGCGTGGTCACTTCGGCGAATGGCTTGAGAATCTTCTCAAGTGACTCAAACGACATCCACTCGTCATCCCTCATACGGTAAAGCCTTTCCACGCTCTCACCCTCCTCAACAAGGAATGCGTTAATGGGTTGACGCAAAACCTTGGCCTTTTTCATCATTGCATCGGCGCTTGACCATCTTGTGGGAGTGTCAACCGCAATGGATGTCATATTCTCAACTTTGGAATCCTTGCATTTTGCCGCAAACCTTCTGATTCGAAGGGAAGAGCCTCCAATGCGTGTGGCAAACCCTCTTATCATCTCAAATACACTTTTGGAGATGGTACATTTCATAATGACCTCAACAACAAGGTTGATCACGTGCGCAAAGCAACCGGTCTCCTCATCAACGAGACGTAGGAAGGCATCATTGTTGGTGCAATGGCCATCACCTTGTCTCCAAGGCCCCAACGAACATGGACGGAGTGGATGAAAGCGTTTTTAATCACCCCACCGTATGAGAACCTTCCATGTGAATGAAGTCAAGCAAAATCCGTTGTGACTCAAAGTTTTCATCGAGCCGATGAGCGGTTATGGCCATGAAAGCGCCCATGTTGGGGGCCGTCCATATGTCACACGTTAAAGATATCTTGCGTTGGAGGCCTAGCATCCCTTTGTTTTGTTTTGTTTTTTTTTTCCAAAAATGCATCGTATGCAAGGTGCAAATCCTTGGCGATGGTGACACGGGAGGGCATGTTCACCTCAGGTTGAAGCCATTTCACCCAATCTTTCAACTTCGGACACTCAAGTCCGCGGAAATAGATGTTTCTTTTTGCAACAATGCGCACAAGACGCTTCCTATTTTCGGCATCGGAGTATGGCGTGAGTTTTGGCATAGCCCTTGCAATGCCCCCTTCCCTCCATGGCTTCCCTTTTTTTTTTTATCCAAACCTGCTTGCTCATACTCTTTAGGATGGCAACTCGCAATGTGGTTGGTTCATCCTTTCCTTGAAATCACTTGCTTAACTTTCTATTTTTTTTTTCACAAAGAAATTTTGCACTCTCGAGCCTATCAATTTTCTCATAAAACATCCACACCGACGATGTCAAATTTTTGTTTCTTTTCGCAGGCACATCGTCGTGCACGGTGTCACTATCAGGTCCACGCGTCAGAGGGTTGTCAGAAGTTTCAACAGCATCACCACTTGTCTTAGCGTCACACGCCGCAGAAGAATTTGTTGGGGTAGATGAAGTTGTGATGAATACTAAAACAAGCTATCGTAAAAAACTCGGCGTCGTGACGTTGAAAACAAATTGCGTATCGATTGGTTCAATAAAAACGACGGTATGGTGGCGGAATCTGGCTTAGTAATGCTGAGTAGCCCATAATTATGCCATAAACTTGCTCTCTGGATTGAAGTTCAAGCTCTCTTGAGTTGAAATGATAGATGTCTAGCTCTTTGGAGTCTGAGCCTGGAGAATGCGTGTCGAGTGAGATTTGGTTGGAAATATAATTGGAGTGAAACTGAGTTTGTGAGTGTGGTTGTATCCGATTTCAGTTACCCACTGGCCCAACATTTGAGTTTTATGCGCGTCTTTTCCCCTCAAATCTTACATGTTACGCCCACGTACCTTTTACCATTCTGATGGGAAGATTAACCTCAGAGTTTGTGGTTTAGACACCAGCACGTGCGAGTGTAAAACCTGAAGTCGTGTGTGTAAAAAAATGCGGCATACGTTTTTTTTGCACACGTTTGCGGACGGCCTGGCTGAATTGTTCGGGTGAATATCATTGGCTGGATCTGTGGAATTCGTGCAAGTCGTTTATTCCACGTGCTGAAATTTTGATCGGGGAATGTTGTGTACGTGACGTTCCGTTAGTCAACGCATCTCTTCTTGTCAGGGGCAATGGCCGACAGTTGCTTACGCCAAAAGTTATCGTGTAGTCAGTTTGCACTTCTAGTACAACGTGCTGCAGCTGCGTGGGTCGGCAGCAAGAAACATTGTGTAGAAAACGTGTCCAGTTTGAAAACGTGTATGGCTGAAACTGAAGCAGGGGTTTACGTGGCATCACTATCCTACGTACGAAATTTCAACATTTCGGTAGTCACGTTTGTTTTTGCGCGCCAAACTGGTTTCAGCTAGAAAGTGTGTTATTTTTTTCATAATCTGCCCAGATCTACCAAACATCCGACTGGTTGAAAAGAAATAAAAAGTGCCAGTACGAAAAAAAAGTGTTAAGATACTAGCACAAGTGGTAGTTAGGTTTAGGGCCTAGGCTTTAGTAGCCTAGGCCAAGGGGAAGTCGAGTTGATTTGTGCCAAGAGAGAAAGTCGAGAATGGGAATGATGTTCACTATAGCAAGAGGGTACATATAGCAAACAAGTGAAGAAAGAGGTGCACCACCTATAAAGTTAATATCTACACTACAGCTAGAACTACATGCAGGTATAAGAATATAATTCTGACATCCCCCCGTAACTGCATGCAGGAATAGCTAAGTGCATAACACAACCTGCAGGGGTACACCACGGACTGAGAAAACAGCAACAGCAGGCAAGGCAACAGAGCAGGTACAGCAGCAAAGGGACAGGCGACAGCAAGACACTCCTGCCACCCCCTTACTCTCCTCCCCCCCCGACCACAGGAGGGGCGGCAGGGAGAGAGAGGAGGCGGGCTGGCGCTGGCTGGTCACCCCCTCCATCCCCTCACCCTCCCCCTCCCCCTCCCCCCCACACTGCTGCAGGAGCAGCAGAGGGGGGAAGAGAGGAGAGGTGGAGGGACGGCTGCTGGTTGGTTTCACACCCGCCACCCCAGTGCCACTCCCCCGGCTCCCCCACACCCTCACACCCTCCCCCCCAGCGGCAGCTGCAGCAGTGGGAACGAAAGGAGGAGGAGGGGAAGGGAAGCACACCACCCATCACCCCCACACCCGCCACCCCCATACCCTCCCCCCCACGGCTGCAGGGAGACGAAGGAGGAGGGGGGGGGCGGGGAGAAAGCCGCAGAGCGGCTACAGAGGGTCGGCGCGGGTAGGGCAGGGGCGGCTGCAGCGAGTGCAGGCGCGGGGTGAGGCAGAGGCGGCTGCACCGAGTGCAGGAGCGGGGGCGGCTGCTCCAAAGGCAGGCGCTGGGTGGTGCAGGGGCGGCTGCACCGAGTGCAGGCGCGGGTGAGGCAGGGGCACCGTCGCGGGCGCCAGGGGCGGGTCCGCGGCGGCTCAAGGCACCGTCGCGGGCGCCAGGGACGGGTCCGCGGCGGCGCAGGGCACCGTCACGGGCGCCAGGGGCGGGTCCGCGGCGGCTCAGGGCACCGTCGCGGGCGCCAGGGGCGGGTCCGCGACGGCGCAGGGCACCATCGCGGGCGCCAGGGGCGGGTCCGCGGCGGCTCATGGCACCGTCGCGGGCGCCAGGGGCGGGTCCGCGGCGGCTCAGGGCACCGTCGCGCACCACGAGGCACGCGACGGGCAGTTCAGGGCACCGTCGCGTGCCACGGGGCGCACGACGGGCAGGGCACCGTCGCGTGCCACGGGACGCACGACGGGCAGGGCACCGTCGCGTGCCACGGGGCGCGCGACGGGCAGAAAAGATGTCACGCGCCACCCGGGCGCGGGACAGAACGAAAATCGCCACGCGCCCGAGGCGCGCGACCGGAAAAAACAGCAGCGGAAGCGTGAGGCGGGCCCACAGGCCAGGACTTAACAGTCTCTAATACCATGTCAAGATACTAGCACAAGTGGTAGTTAGGTTTAGGGCCTAGGCTTTAGTAGCCTAGGCCAAGGGGAAGTCGAGTTGATTTGTGCCAAGAGAGAAAGTCGAAAATAGGAATGATGTTCACTATAGCAAGAGGGTACATATAGCAAACAAGTGAAGAAAGAGGTGCACCACCTATAAAGTTAATATCTACACTACTGCTAGAACAACATGCAGGTATAAGAATATAATTCTGACAAAAAGTTGTACAATGCAAAAAAACGCGGATTTCTGGTGACACAACCTCTTTGGGTAGATCACAGGCCAGCCAGCCTTGAGAAGACTTGCATGCCCCTCCCCAATCCAACTCAGCCCAATCCCAATCTGCACAACCCGCCCACCAACCATACCAATTCCTGGCCTTCAGAAGATGAATCTCGTGGTTTAGGAATGTCTCGTAGATACTAAGCAGGGATATTAAAGCCCTGGAATAGTCTTCGCGCTGCATAGGCGGTTGTCCCAGAACCCTGACGAAGTGGGAAAGCGAGCAAAACTTTTCTCACATGTACAGGCATGTCTTAGTAAACGAATATTCAAATACGAATCTGGTTTCCCAACCAGAAAACCGTATTCGTCGAATGGCATCGATTCGGATTCGGTATTCGTCTAATATTGAATAGTAAAACGAATAGGTCGCTATTCGTTTACACCCTTACTTCTGCGTGTACCCCCACTTTCATCCACTTTGACCTCACCTCCCTTCCCCCTCTGATCTCATCTCCCTCCCCCCTATGACCTCTCCATTCCCCCTCTGACCTCACATCCCTTCCCTCCACTGGCATCACCCTTCCCCCTCTGACCTCACATCCCTTCCCACTATAACAAAACCACCCCTCCCCTACTGACCTCACCTCCCTTCCCACTATACCATAACCTCCCTTCCCCCACTGACCTCACCTCCCTTCCAACTATAGCACGAACTCCCTTCCCACCGTAGCAACACCACCCTTCTCCCAATAGCACAACCTCCCTTCCCCCACGGACCTCACCTCACTTCCCCATATAGCACAACCTACCTCCCCCCTATACCACAACCTCCCTGCCCCCACTGACCTCACCTCACTTCCCCCTATAGCCTAACCTCACTTTCCCCTCTGACCTCACCTCCCTTCACCCTCTAGCACAACCTCCCTTCCCCCACTGGCCTCACATCACTTTGCGCTCTACCATAACCTCCCTTCCCACTCTAACAACATCTCCCTTCCCCCTCTAACATTACCTCCCTTGTTCCTCTGACCTAACCTCCCTTCCCCCTCTGACCTCACTACCCTTCCCCCTCTTACCACAACTCCCTTCCCACTCTCACCTCACCTCCCTTTTTCCTGTAACATCAAGTCCCTTCCCCCTCGGCACGCACCTCCTTTCCCCCTCCCCATCACACCCCTTCCCCCTGGCCACCTCTTCCCCTCCTACATGCACTCACCTCCCTGTCTTGTGGGACGACAAGGTTCTCCCTTCCCCCTCGGACAGCACCTCCTTTCCCACTCCCCGTCTCATCCCTTCCCCCCTGGCTCCCTCTTCCCCTCCCCCATGCACTCACCTCCCTTTCGCTCGGGACGACATCTCTCTTCCCCCTCGGCGCGCACTTCCTTTCCCCCTCCCCATCACACCCCTTCTCCCCTGGCTCCCTCTTCTCCCCCCCCCCCCCCATTCACTCACCTCCCTGTCTTGTGGGACGACAATGGTATCCCTTCCCCCTCGAACAGCACCTCCTTTCCCCCTCCCCATCACACCCCTTCCCCTTGGCCACCTCTTCCCCTCCCCCATGCACTCACCTCCCTGTCTTGTGGGACGACAGGGGTCTCCCTTCCCCCTCGGACAGCACCTCCTTTCCCCCTCCCCATCACATCACTTCCCCCCTGGCTCCCTCTTCCCCTAAACAATGCTCTCACCTACCTCTCATTCCCCCCTTCCTCTCATTCTGCCCTTACTACTCGCATTCCGCCCTCCCTAATATCCTTCCATCCTTTCTCTTCTCACATTCCGCCCCCCTAACATTATTCTGCCCATCCCTACTCTCATTTTGCCCTTCCTACTGTCATTCCGCCATAACTACTCGCATTCCGCCCTTCCTACTCTTATTCCGTCCTTTCCCTACTCTCATTCCGCCCATCCCTATGCTCATTCCGCCATCCCTAATCTCATTCCGCCCTTCATACTCTCATTCCGCCCTTCCGGCTGTCATTCCGCCCTTCCTACTCTCGTTCCGCCCTACCTACTCTCATTCCGCCTTTCTTCATCTCATTCTGCCATTCTTCCCCTCATTCCGCCGTTCATACTCTCGTTCCGCCCTACTTACTGTCATTCCGCCCTTCTTCCTCTCATTCCAATATCGTAGTCCCATTCCGCCTTTCTTCCACTCATTCCGCCCTTCTTCCTCCCATTCCACCCTTCTTCCTCCCAGTCCGCCCTTCTTCCTTTCATTCCGCCCTTCTTCCACCCATTCCGCCCTTCTTCCTCTCATTCCGCCATTCTTCCTCTCATTTCGCCCTTCTTCCTCTCGTTCCGCCCTCCTTCCTCTCGTTCGCCCTTCATGCCGTAATGTCGCCATTCCTACTCGCATTCCGCCCTTCCTAAACTCATCCTGCCCATCCCTTCTCTCACCTCGCCCATCCCTACTCTCATTCCGCCCATCGTATGCTCGATCAACCCTTCCTAATATCATTCCGCGCTTCCTACTCTCATTCCACCCATCCCTACTCTCATTCCGTATCAAGGGAGCTGTTTTGACACTAATCTTATGGGGGAATCAACGCTTACCTTATGTCTGTTCCAGTGTTTCCACTGCTCAGCGACGGGAGTATGGTTGCTTGGCGTAGGCACTCATTTTGAGACATTTCACTTATGTCAATGTGTGATGTGTTGGAGTAGGCTAGAGCTCGCTCTGGCATTTATCATGGTGTTCTTTTGTTATTTCGCCATGTTTAGAGCGAGTTACACTTTCGGCTTAGTTTAGGTTCATTTCTTAGTTTCTAGCACTGATTAAACACACCCTAAGTTCAATCAGGGTTTCCTACTTTTGTATCTCGACACTTTGCTAGTGTAATCTTCTCTTCCGTCATCTTACCTCTCAATGGCCATGGCTATCCTAAGGCCTATTCTAACACGGTATCTAGAGCTACATTCAAGGCGTTTCTTCCCTATTTATATCTCTTAGTACTTTTCGATCTATAAGCATAGTTCCCGTCACTAATTAGCTAGCCGAAATTTTCTTTCTTTCCTCTTTTTCTTTAACTTTTGCTTTTAGTCATTTCCAGGCGGATCTGCCCTAAGCAGCCGCGCGTCGCTCTCCTGTCGTCGCACGCGCCCTACCCCGCTCCGCCACGCGCCCTTCGCCGCCACTTCGCGGGCACGCGCCCTGCCCGCAGCCGTTGCGCGCGCGCGCGCGCCTTGCCCCGCCTCGTCGCAAGCGCGTGCCCTGGCTGTCGCCGTCGCGTGCGCGTGCCCTGCCCGTCGGCGTCGCGCTCGTACGCCCTCCCCACCGCCATCGCTCTCCCTCGCCACCTTCGCCTTCTCCACCCACCCTAACCGCCTTTTCACCCTCTTCCTCCTCTCTTCTCTCCTCCCTCCCCTTCTTACCTCTCCTCCCTTCCTCCACCTCCTTTCCTTCCGCATCTACTGCAGCTGGCTGCTGGTTGCTGGTTGCCACGAGGTGAACGTGCTCCTACCTCCTCCCCTCAATCCGCCCCTTCACCCTCCTCCTCTCTGCTCTCCTCCCTCCCCTTCTCTCTCCTCCCTTCCTCCACCTCCTTTCCTTCCGCATCTGCTACCGCAAGCTGCTGGTTGCTGGTTGCCACTAGGTGGCCGTGCTCCTACCTCCTCCCCATAATCCGCCCCTTCACTGTCCTCCTCCTCTTCTCTCCCTATATTTCCCCCGCCATTTCACCCCTTCCTCCGCCTCTCTCCTCTCCTTATCTGCTGCAGGTGGCAGCGGCGCAAGAGCAGACTACTCCGCCATTATTCCTCCGCCTCTAATTTATCCCCCCCAGTGGCGCGGCAGCAGAAAACTCCGCCATTATTACTCCGCCTCTAATTTCTCCCCCCAGCGGCACAGCAGCAGACTACTCCGCCGTTATCCCTCCTCCTCTTATTTCTCCCCTCAACGGCGCAGCAGCAGACTACTCCGCCGTTATCCCTCCTCCTCTTATTTCTCCCCTCAATGGCTCAGCAGCTGACTACCTCGCCCCTATTCCTCCTCCTCTTTTATCTCCCCACATCTGCTCCATTGCTATCCCCTCCTCTAGATGGGGCCTATTCCCGCTCTTACCTCTCTTCCTCTGCGCTTCCGCCCCCACCCTTCTCCCGCCCTACCTCCTCTCCTTCCCTACTCTCCGCTCCTTTCGCTGCCCTTCCTCCCCTTGCACCTCTCCTACTTGTCGCTGGACCTCCCCTCTTCTCCACCCCTCTGCTAGGATTCCACTGTCCCATAAGCGTCGCCGCTCTTCTGCCGCTGTAACCTCTAGTATTGGTTCTCTGGCCTCTGTCTTCAGTGTGACCATGCCATCTCAGGATAGCATCCTTGGTGCTTATCCTCTTATGGACCCTCGCTTTGTCATTCCATTTTCTCCACCCCTTCAAAACACTGCTTCTCACTCTCCCAGCCCTACGGCTGCCGCTCTCTCACTTCCTCACACCTTGGATTTTGTCCTTGACAGTGCTGCTACTGACTCTGTCTTTCGTGATGTCGGTGTCCTTCGCAATTGTCCTCGTCCCCTCTCTATTGATGGGGCCGGGGAGACCATGACCATGATCTGCACTGGCACTTCCTCTCTTCCTTGTCCTGCCTCTCCCTCTGGCGATGTTACTGGTCTTTATGTTCCCTCTTGCCGTCATAACCTCCTATCCCTCCCTGCCCTCCAACGCCTGGGTGTGCGAGCGCTCTTCCCCGCAGGGGCACTCTATTGTGATCTTCATTACCACGACCGGCACCTCGCTCGTTCTCCTACTACTCGTCTCTACACCCTTCGTGTTCCCATCCCCTCATCTGTCCATCACACTTCCTCTTCTTCTGCCCCTCCCGTCTCCTCTTGCGACTGTCGCTCTCTCACCCAACCTACCCTTCTTCTCCATCATTGCCTTGGCCACCCCGACTTCCTTCTCCTTCGCAGCATGGTCAATTCGAGGCTGCTTCATGATCTCCCTTCCTCTCTCCCGCCCCTTCCCCCCTCTCCCGCTCCTCCATGCACCCCTTGTGTTCAAGCCAAGCTCTCCCAATCTCCTCATCCTTCTTCCCCTTCTGCCTCCCCCAAACCCCTTGATCTTGTGCATATGGACCTCTGGGGTCCCTCTCCCATTGCCTTCTGTCAGGGCCATCGTTACTTTCTCCTTCTTGTCGATGACCACTCTCGCTTTGCCATTGTCTATCCCCTCCGTGTCAAATATGACGCCCCCTCCCTCATCATTCGCTGGACTGAGCAGGCGCGCCTTCGCTTTGGCCGTCCTGTTGCACGCCTCCACTCTGATGGTGGTGGCGAGTTCTTTAACCACTCTCTCTCTCCTTACTGCTCCTCTCATGGCATTCACCAAACCTCCACCCTTCCGCATTCTCCCGAACAGAATGGTGTTGCCGAGCATCATATTCGCACTCTCACGGAGATCACTCGATGTCTCCTTATTCATGCCTCTGCTCCACACTCTCTTTGGAGCTACGCTCTTGTTTATGCCACTCGTCTCTCCAACCTTCGCCCTCATCCTCTTCGCCCTTGCATTACACCCTTTCAGCTCTGGACTCGCCGCTAGCCCTCTGCCCGCGCTCTTCGGGTGTGGGGCTGTGTCGCTCATGTCCTCAACAATCCCGTCGATCGAGCACATCAGGGTGGGAAGCTCGCCCCCAAGACACAGCTATGTACATTCATTGGCATCAACACTGACTGTCCTGGCTATCTTTTCTATGCTCCCTCCTCTCGGCAGCTTTTTCGCAGTCAGGATGTTATCTTTGACGAGACTCGTTCTCCATTCCTCACCCCCTCTCCCACCCCTCCTCCTCCCTCTCTTCATTGGTCTGAATTTGATCCGCTGCCCTCTGCTGCTCCCTCTCCTTCTCCCCTTCCTCCTGCCCCTGCTCCGCCTCCCCTCCCTGCCCCCTCCACCCCCCCCTTTGCTGTCATCTCCGGCACCTCTCCTCCTGCCTCTTCCTCTTCTGCTCACATGCCCTCTCCTTCACCACATCCTTCTCATCTCCCTCCTTCTGCTCTTGCTCCCCCACCGTCTGCCTCACCATCTCCTTCTGCTACCCTTCCTTGTGCTCCTGCTCCTTCACCTTCTCCGCGTCTCACCAGCTCCATGACCCGTGCAATGTCCAATTTTCAACACTCTGCTCTTTTTGCTCGTCTCTCTCCCTCTCAAAACGTCGATCTTCTCAAGGATCGATTTGAAGAGCTGTTCTCTGTTCATCCCGTTTCACCCCTCCTCTGTGTCACCATTGGCGACTTTTCCAATTCTCCCACTCTTCTCTCCGTTGACACTGCCGCTATTCCCACCCCTCAGACCTATTCCAAGGCAGTGTCTGGCTTTCATGCAGCTGAGTGGATGGCTGCCATCATTGCTGAGTCTGAGGCATTCACCAGGACTCAATCTTACGTTGACTCTGTTCCCCCCCCTGGCGCCACCATTGTCAAGGGCAAATGGGTTTTTCGTGTCGAACAGCTACCTAGGGAGCTCCTTGTCTTCAAAGCCCGTTACTGCGCCAAAGGCTTCACCAAACGTGAAGGCATTGACTACTTTGCCACTTACTCCCCCACTGCCCGTCTCCCCACTCTTCGCCTCCTTCTTGATCTAGGCGCCCGCTGTGATTGGGAGATTAATTCTACGGATGTCCCCAATGCCTTTCTCCAGGGCGAGCTTCATGAACGCATTTTCCTTGAGCGCCCCGCTGGCTTTCCTCGCCCGTTTCCTCCAGGCACTGTCTGGGAGCTGAAGCGCCCAGTGTATGGTCTTAAGCAGGCTCCGCGCGAGTGGCATGCTAAGCTTGCCTCTACTCTTCACTCTCTTGGCTTCTCCACCTCCTCTTCCGACCCCAGTCTCTTCATTCGCACTTCCCCCCACTGGCTTTACATTCTTGCCTACGTCGATGACTTGGTGCTCCTCGATGAAGATTCTGCCGACAGCCGCTGTCAAGCAGGCCCTCCAAGCGCATCTCCTGTGCAAGGATCTTGGCGAGCTTCGTCATTACCTCGTCATGGAGATCTGTCGTGATCGTGCTGCGCGCACCATCTCTCTCTCTCTCTCTCTCTCTCTCTCTCTCTCTCTCTCTCTCTCTCTCTCTCTCTCTCTCTCTCTCAATCCTTCTACATCAACTCCATTCTTGAGCGCTTTGAAATGTAGTAGGCCAAGCCAGTTTCCACTCCTCTTCCCGCTAACCATCAGCTTACTGCCCCTGCCGTTCCCGCTCCCTCCTCAGAACAGCGACCCTATCCTGAGCTCGTTGGGTCACTTATGTATGCTATGATGTGCACTCGCCCCGATCTTGCTTACCCCCTCAGTGTCCTCTCTCGTTCTGTTGGCCTTGGTCGTCACACTGACGTCCACTGGGCGGCTGCCAAGCGCGTTCTCCGCTATCTCCGCGCTACCTCAGATCTTGCACTCACTGTTGGTGGCTCTTCTCCGCCCGTTCTTTCCGGTTACAGTGATTCTCCTACGCTGATTCTCGCCCTGATCGCCGCTCCTCTCAGCTGGCGCTCCACTCGTTCATCCTCTGTCTGCCTTTCCACCTGTGAGGCTGAGTTGTACGCAGGCACATTGGCGGCTCAGGAGGCTCGCTAGCTCTCGTTTCTCCTTGCTGAGCTTGGTCATTCTCAGCCCTCTGTGACGCTCTCCTGTGACAGCGCGAGCTTGATTCACCTCACTGAAAATCCTGTCTATCACGCTCGCAGCAAACACATCAAGGTCCGCTACTTCTTCGTGCGCGAGATGGTGTAGTCTGGCTTCCTCTGCCTTCGCAAGGTGGCCGCTACTGAAAACCTTGCTGACATTTTCACCAAGGCTCTCCTTCGTGCGCCACACCGTTTCTACGTGCGCGCACTTGGGCTTACTCAACTCGCCACTTCTGGGGGTGTTCCGGTTTGCTAGGTGTTTTGTTCCAGAGCTTCACCTAGCCTGGGGGTGTGTTGGAGTAGGCTAGAGCTCACTCTAGCATTTATCATGGTGTTCTTTTCTTATTTCGACATGTTTAGAGCGAGTTACACTTTCGGTTCACTTTAGGTTCATTTCTTCGTTTCTAGCACAAACTGAACACACCCTAAGTTCAATTAGGGTTTCCTACTTTTGTATCTCGGCACTTTGCTAGTGCAGTCTTCTCTCTCGTCATCTTACCTCTCAATGGCCATGGCTATCCTAAGGCCTATTTTAACATGATGTGCTTGAGTCGTGGGGTTGGGTCGCACAGTTCTCAATCGGGGCCAAACATATCCCCCAAGGCTCGTCTTCCACCCAACCCTGCCCACCCTGATTTGTTTTGGCCTCGATTGTTTGGGAGTTCACTCTGTTTTTTTCACCCGCTCGTCACATGTTTCGTCATTTGTTACCCAATCACAGAGGGGGGAACCCAACCAAGTGTTAAACTGTTGGAAATTTGAGACGTGAGCTGTCTCTTCTGAAGTGACCCTGGTTGCAATGAATGCACGTCATTGAGGCTTGGCTCGGTACATCCCCGCCACTAATTTTGGGCTGCTGAGTCGATCCACGAAAGCGATTTCCCTCCCGGAAACCTGTTCTCGCCCACTGCATCAGCGCATCTGTCAATTCTGCCAACTGGACGGCCTCATTAAAGCTTCACGGTCGCAAACGTCACACCTCATACTGTATCTCGTACTTGAGGCCCGCGACGCATTTGTCCAGTCGATCCGCATTGCACATGTTGTCCACTAGGTCCATTAACATGAAGAATGTCGTGGTGTAATACTGGATCGAAGACAACTGCTTCCAAGCATGCAACTTCATGCGAGCCGAATCCAATGCCGATATTTGCTCAAATCTTGCTCGCGGGATAGAACCCCACTCCTTCCATGTGCGTATCGTGTCCACTCTAAATATTGATGTTGCTCGTTGCTTGACACGTATTGAAGCCCCGTCGTTCGCACTTGTCGTCCTTGCCAAAGTCCCCTCTGATTGTAGTGCGGCGCCATCATTCCAACGCAGCTCCGCGCAACAGTGATATTGCAAAATTAATGCGGGCGGTATCTTCCGTAACATTAGCAGCATTGAAAAACACTTCAACTCCAAACAGCCACCCTTAAACAGTAACAAGCTTGTCACTTGGGGTGAACAAGGGCGGGTTTGTCGGCCTGGTTTTGACAGTTATCGCTACTGTCACTGCTGTTGTTGATGGCACCTACTTCACTTCTTCAGAGTCGATCGACCGTTTGATCTCACTGAAGACGACCTCGTTCGGCATGATGCTCACACCTTCATCCATGGCGGGCGTATCCTATCGCGCTTCACCTCACGCATGGCGTAGTTTGGCGTTTTTCTCCCGCAGTCGCTCTACCTCTATCGACATTGTCTGCATGTTGACCTGCAACGCACATAACTGTTGCAGCATGTTGTTAAACTCCGCCTCATCCATGTGTCTCCGAGTTTGCCAACGGGCAGGGGTTCTTATGACTTCTGATGAAGACACAAACACCATCGTAGTCGGAGAGAAATAAGCGTATCTACTTCACATGTCGACCATTTCGTTGCTTTCCGACGTCCACGCCAAGCTAGGTCCCTCGTGATATATTTGCTAGGTTTCTCTTCACTGTATGTAGAAATAACTCTTCCATATTGACTTCCTGTTACGTGTGCAATAGAACGAGATAGTGAGCATTGCACTAGGTATCAAATGAGTACAAAGTATGAGCGAAGGCATGAGCGAGTACTTATGTGCGAAAACATGCGACGGTTACGAGGTGCATGTGAGCTAGCTAGTGCTAGGCTGGCATCGAGGTTCGGGCTAGTCCGAAGCGTAGGCCGACTCGGCCAGGCCAGCGGTGCATGGTTTGGTAGAACAGTGCGTGCGAAGTTGGCGAAGCCCTGTTAGCAGTAACGGGCGAACAACGGCTGCTGTTGTACGCGATGTTGAAGAACGCGATAAGGAATGTTGAAAAAATCCTTACAATATCCCCCCCCCCCCCCCCCCCCCTCAAGAAGCCCCCTTCGCTACGCGAGTGCGTGCATATCGCGGAAACGGCTCCTCAGGTACCCTTGCAGGGCAGGGTGGTTTTCAATGTTGGCCAGGGGCACCTAGCTATCCTCAGTTGGCGTGCGGTCCTTCCATCGAACGAGGAACTCGATCCTCTTGATGCCTGTGGGGTGACGAATCCGATGGCTCAGTTTTTTCTCGGGCTCGACGATCGGCTCCGATGCAGGGCGAGTCATGGACGGCGGGCGATGTTGTGGCAGTTGGCTTGTGGTCAGGATGTATGGGCGAAGTAGGCTGACGTGGAACGATGGGCCGATGTAACAGTCTGTCGACAACAATAGGTGGGCAGTCACTGGGCTGATCATGTGGCTGATTTGAAACGGTCCACAGTCCTAAATTCTGTTTGTCGAGCAGTACGTAATCTCATCTAAAAAATGCTGAACCGTCTGTTAACGGTGGTGGCGATATTTCGAATATCACAGGCTTTGGGGAGGGGGTGTTAACTTCTATCAACATGCTGATGTGACAAATGCTCGTTTTTGGTTGTGTTTTGCCTGTTTTTCACTTGTGTTTGGCAGGGAATCAGCCGTGGCAGCGTAGGATATCGTGTTAATGACTGTACAATTTTTGGGGGAAACCCGAGTGTTTGCAAGCAGAAAACGTGGCATCAGTTTCGTGAGAAGATTTTTGTGACGCACGTGTCTGGTGTTTGCAAGAACGTGATCATAAACAGTCGTTTCTAGCAACCAGGTGTATGTCACGGTTCTTGAAATCTCGTGACGCCTTGGTCATACGAAGTCAAAACGCACTGTGATATTTTTCGGAGTGCGTGGTTTCTTCCTATTGGTCGCGTCAAATCCGGTTCTCCAAACAACACTTTTTTGCTGGCCAATATTTCGGAACGACCGTACACATGATGCCCAACCCGTGCACCCGAATTTGCCCTGCCCCGGATGGAAACGCTGCACCCGAGGTTTTGCGCCCGGGAAGTTGCTCCCACGGTACAAACACCTGGATGGCAGAGCACAGTGGACGCGCTTCGACTCAAACTGAACGTGGATCACAGAACAAACCAGGTTGGCCCAGGTTTGCCTTGTTTCGAGGCTAGAGTACAGACCAGCGAAAGGGGTGGTCGAAACGTCGCCAGCATCGTGCGTGAATTCGCACGATGCTCACTGCCACGTAAGGTGGGTTCACGTGTGTAAAACAGACAAGCGGGCGGGTTCAGTTCGCCACGTGTATCCTGCCTTTGCACGGTACAAACGCGTTAGCAACCAAGCGTTGTTTGGGCACCCCACGTCACACACTGCATTGTGTGGTTACACGGTAGCCCATTCCGAATTTCAAGGCTAATTCATGTCATGAATTTGACACGAACACACACCTCCTGGAAATTGTGCATCCACTCCAAACTAGATAAAACGTCAACATTTAGGCCCGTCAAACATCGTAACTCATATTAACTCCAGCACCACACCATGCCTCGCCACCACCGCCGCTCTCAGCTTCCGGTTCACATCAAGCGCGCTATCTGCGCGCACCATGTCGCGAACCCCTTCCTGCGTCACGTGGACCTGGCGAGGTGGTGTTACTCCCGCTACGGTTTTCGCCCGGACCGTTCCACCGTCAGCCGCACGATGAAAGGTGCAGACCGCTGGGCGGCTGCTTCGACTACTGACAACACTGTGCGAGTGCGTGGCGGCGCATGGCCTGAGCTGGAGCAGGCCATGGCGCGTTGGATTTCCAACGCGGGACCCGCTGGCGTGCCGCTGACACTGCAGACTATTCGCGACCATGTCGCGACCATGGCCCGCCGCATGGGTATCCCGCCGACGTTTCGATGCTCCATTGGCTGGGTGCGCCGTGCATTGCGGCGCCAGGGTGTGAGGTGCCGCGCCGCGGACGGTGAGGTGGCCAGCGCAGACATTACCGCCGTGCGCAACTGCCGGGAGAAACTTCCGCAACTGCTCATGCATCTCTCCGCCAGGCCGCGCGATACTTACAACCTCGACGAGACGGCGCTGTGGTTGTCTGTGCTCCCGCGTAGGACCTACAGCAACGGCCGTCTTCCCGGCCGGAAAATTTCGAAGGAGCGGCTCACGGTCGCGTTCCTTGTCAATGCTGATGGCAGTCACGCCTTCCGTCCGATGGTCATCTCGAAGGCTAAGCGCCCGCATGACTTCCGGCCTGACTACGACCCCAACACGCTTTGCTACTGGCGTAACAACGCCAAGGGGTGGATGACGGCGCCTGTGAGTACAGTAGGTGTTGATTTAATATGTAAGCCGCAACTTCTCTTCTCCTGTTTGGGCGCGTTAATTAACTATCGCGACATATGATCAAACATCCGCTCCATCCCCCACTCCCCCCCATCCCACACACAGTTGTTTACGCATTTCATCGAGCAACTCAACGCGGCGATGTACGCGGAGGGCCGACACATCGTCATCTTGCTCGACAACGCCAGCTCGCACATGCTCAAGAGCGAGATGGCGTGGAGCGAGGTCATTCACGGCTTTCGCTCCACCTGCATGAGCAATGTCCGCTTGGTGTTTCTGCCGCCGAACACCACGGCATTCACCCAGCCCCTTGATCAGGGTATCATCGCCACCGCCAAGGCACGCTACCGACAGCACTGGCTGCGAAATTTCACGGCCCTGTGGGCGGCGGACGGCGCAACAAGTGCCGCTGCGAGGTTCCGCCCGAATCTCCGCGACGTTCTGTCGTGGCTGTCGGACGCATGGACGAGCATTGGCCCCCGCACCATCCAGCGATGCTGGTGGCGCACCGGATGCATGCCGCGTTCGTGGGCCATGGAGCTGCCGCATGTTCACGACGGGGATGGCGACGTTGGCGAAGGCAGCACAGACGGCACACGCGTTGATGCCTACCCCGACATCGATCTCGACGAGGACATCGGGGATGTCGGGATTCTCATTTCCTGCCTCGGACTCGGGCCCAGCGCCATGCCCGCCACTGAGTACGTCGCGATCGACGAGGATCAGCCGACCTGCGCCGAGACCGGCGAGGACCCACTGGCGGGAGAGCCGGGTGCGGGCATGGTGGCAGAACTTTGGGAGGCGCCCACCACCATGCAAGCCGTGTACGATGAGGGCGACCCTGTGAGCCGTGAAGCGCGGCGCACGGCACGGGCGGCGTGCGAAATGCTAATCGGATATGCGCGCGCCACTAGCATCATTCCGCGCGACCTGTGCCACCTATTCGACATCCGCAATCCGCTCATCATTGAGCGGATGGAGCGGGCGAGCCCGCCCATCAATCTGAACGTGACGCCCCCCCCCGCAGCTACGCCGGGCGCAATCCCTACGCCCGATACCCCACGTCCGCGCGGCCGTGTGCTGCCTGGCTGGATGACCCAGCCTTCCCGCCGCCAGCAGCTGCTGGATGCCGGCGTGACCGCCGTGATGGGCGGATACACTGACGCCGCAGAGTGGATGCGTCTGTGAGGGGCTTTCACACCCCTGGAGGAGCTGAGTGCTCCTTCCTTGGCACAAATGTGCACGACTTGTGCACATCTATGTGTGCCTCGTCAAAACCTGGCAATGAAGTTGAGGGCCAGGTGGCTTGACAAGATTGGGGAGTAGATTGGGTTGCATGTTGTTGACAAAGTTGGAAGTTTGATGTAATCGCGATACAGTGTGTTATTGATATCATGTGGTAACAATGAGCACCCACTAATGACAAGTGTGGCCAACCCACACTGTTACGGAATAGACAAAAGCCCTGGTTACCAGATTTTTTTAAAAGCACATTAGAAGTGTAGCGAAACCTACGAACCCTGGCGAAATGCAAGTGCAGCTTATGGGCCCCCTTAACAAGGCAACCGGGAGTGGCTCTAATGGGCATCATGTGTATTGGCTAACGGGAATGTCGCAACGTCACTCGAAGTTCAAAATTCGCGAAGTGTAAATTTCGCGATGCGATTTGAAATGTGTGAGTGAAATGCGCGGCTCGTAAGTGCGCGTCCTTTTTCTACGGGGGGATGCGGTTCAATACGACGCTGCACGATTTTAAACGCTTTAATAAACAACTAATTCGGTTGAGATGGGTATCGAGTGAGAATGATACTAGAATGACGCGCCCTAATGCACACCCCTTCGAATTGAACCTGAATCTCAGCACTACATCTCACGGCAACTATGTGTTCACGCGCTTCACATCACCTCAACCAGGGGGGTATAATAATTATGCAAATCACTCATGCTTTGTTTTTTTTTTGCCTTCACTACACACAAATTGTCCTGCATCCGCCACTATGGAATGCCCAGACTGTAGTTCAGGGCCTTTCTACGTGTATTCTGCTCTAGAATCGCATAGAGGTAGTGCGGCTTGCAGAATAGCTGCTGCATCCAGAGGCACAGAGGCGTCAGATTCCCCACCAATCCAACCCCCCGCTCAACGTCGGCGCGTGTGGAGTCCTTCCAGAAGTGAAAACGTATTCGTACCACCTACGTTTGATGAGACAGCCGATGACGACGGTGTGGAAGCGGCAGCCGCTCGTGCCGCCGATGATCCGGAGGCATTCATGGCACGCATGAGTGACTCGAGTGGGATAGAGGAAGTTTCTCAGATTCCCAACGGATCTAATCCGCGCCCCGCAGCTCCATTCTCCTTCAAGGACGAATTGGCACGCTGGATTCTCCAAGAGCGTATATCTCAACGTTCGGTAGCTAGATTATTTAAGATTCTTAGCCATGAAGGCGCATCGTGGGCGGACGTTGCGGAATGGCGATCTTCGCGAGATGTGTACCGACATGTGCAATCGAGAGTGGCTGACTGTGACCGTTCCTGGAAGAAGGGGGTTACTCGCGTTGGAACAAAGGCATTTTTGACCTTTTGGTACTGTGATAGCTTGAAGGTATGTTGGAGTGTTTGCTCATGTTTTTTTCAGCGCCCCACTAATCCCTCGTTCCCACATGGCTAAACATTTGCAGGCCCTACAAGATCTGTTGAGTGAACCGAGACTTAGCCATCCGCTTGTTACACGTGCGCATAGAAAGAGAGTGAGGGGCGTGAGGGTGTATGACACCCCCGAAACCGGCAATTTTTGGAACGACGTGCAAGTGAGTGCCTCCCCATTATGCGATGCACCTATCCCTGACCGTTCATACATTTTCCAGCACACCCCCTCTCTCCCTGCTATCCATTCTGCTATGCCTGGCTCTCCCTACCTCTCCCTCACCATCCTGATGCATTTCCAGCACATCCTCTCTCTCCCGGCTAGCCATTCTGCTATGCCCGCCTCTCCCAACCTCTCTCTCACCGTCCTCATTGTTTTTCAGCACACCCACACTCTCCCTTACTCCCATTCTGCTATGCACCTCTCCCTGACCATCCTAGATTCTTCACGCATACCCTCCCTCTCCCTGCTCCCCATTCTGCTATAACAGGCTCACCCAACTTCTCCTTAACCATCCTAAAACTTTCAAGCACACCACGTCTCTCCCTGTCCTGATTCTACTATGCCCGCCTCTCCCAACCTCTCCCTCACCGTCATATTTTTTTCCAGCACACCACCTCTCTCCCTGCTCCCCATTCTGCCATTCCTCTCTACCTCTCCCTGCCAGTCCCTCTCTACCTCTCCCTGCCATTCCTTCTCTCTCCTGCGCTTCCCTCTCGCGCATTGCCCCACATTCTGGATTTCCAGTCCCTCTCTACCTCTCCCTGCCATTCCTTCTCTCTCCTGCGCTTCCCTCTCGCGCATTGCCCCACATTCTGGATTTCCAGTCCCTCTCTACCTCTCCCTGCCATTCCTTCACTCCCCTGTGCTTCCCTCTCGCGCCTTGCCCCACATTCTGGTTTTCCAGTCCCTCTCTACCTCTCCCTGCCATTCCTTCTCTCCCCTGTGCTTCCCTCTCGCGCATTGCCCCACATTCTGGATTTCCAGTCCCTCTCTACCTCTCCCTGCCATTCCTTCTCTCCCCTGCGCTTCTTTCAATAATCTGGCCCCACTCTCAGTTATTCTAGCCCCTCTCAACCTGTACTTGCTACACCTTCTGTCCCAAGCACATCCCTCTCTCTCACAGTCCTTCACTCTGTAACTATAGCCCCTCACATCCTGTCTTTGGATCTCCATCCTTTTCAGAAGCCTTGTTCCAACCCCCCAACAGGATCGCCTTGGCATCGACGACGTCGTTGCCACTCTCATTCTCTCGTCGGATGAGACAATAGCTGACGGCCGAGGAAAAGCTAAGGGGCATCCCATCTACATGTCATTGGGAAACATTCATCATGAGGATCGCTGGAAGCCATACGGGCATGCGCTCATTGCAACGTTACCGGAGTTTCCGGCGGAGTACACGTCGGTTGACCGACTGCAGATCTTCCAGTATGTCTTGCGCCTCGTTCTTCAGCCATTGAAAGATGCTTCACACGTGTAAGTGCCCCCATACTCATCCCCGACCTATCCTGCTCACCATGCTCGCCACATGATGCACTTCCTTTCAACACTATGGGCCTTGCTTCTGTGACTGCCCTCCTACTCATCTCTCTCCTCTCCTTCTCAGATTGCTGCCCCATGCTTCGCTCTTAGCATTCTTCCAACCTCGCTGCCCTTTTGCGTCCTTTACTTCCCTCCTCTCATCCCCCTACCCTCCTTCTCGGATTGCTGTGCCCATGCTTCCCTTCTCTCTAGTTGTCTTACCTCTTTGCCCCGTTGCCTACATTTCGATTTTTCAGGGGGACCCGTGTGCATGACCAGTCTGGTCACGTTTTCACGGCCTACCCAGCACTATACGCCTATGTGGCGGACTACCCAGAGACGTGCAAACTCACCTGCACCAAGTCTCTAGGTACATTCTACCCCTGTTCCTTATGCAAGGTCCACAAAACAGAGTTAGACTCTTTCACGCAGAGAGACGAATATCGCTCATCCGAAGGACAAGATGTCATCTACAAGGCCGTCTCTGCACGGCAACGAGGGGGGCCTCACCCGCAAACCTACAGCACTCATCATGTAGAGGTAAGTGTAAAACAATCCACTGTTTTTGCGTCATATACTAGTCATGTTTCACTCAACACTCTCCTGCCATTCTAAACCCAACGCAGTGCGCGCTTCATGGCTTCCGTTTCGAGTCAGTGCCGTGGGGCAGCCCTTATATGGCGGTGATGCCAGACCTAATGCATCAGGCCGATCTTGGCATGCTGGAGCACATTATTGCCGCCTTGAGAGGGGTCATTGATCAAAAATACCACGTCGCCATCGACGAGTACGTTACATCGCTTGACACCATTCTTTCTAAGATTCCACAGTGCATAAGACTAATGTATCTCTCTCCCCTTCATTGCAGCATCTTGAAGCACCTGAAGTTGACATGTCGGGTTGATGGTTTGCGTCTACCATCTGGGGAGTATTTCCGTTTAGGTGCTTCTTTCCAAGCTTACGAGCACAGGTCTGTCATGCAAATCCTTCCTTTCCTCATTCGAGATTATGTGGCAAAACCACACATGGATGCCGTTGTGGCATACATCGAGTGGTATCACACGTGTGGGAAGACGAGAGACTATGACGAGGAAACCTTGACAAAACTCGAGGAACAATCCAAGAGGTACGTACGCTTTATACATTGCATGTATATCATTGTAGTATGCCCTTCGACCTGACTAAATCTTGTGTGGTTGTATTTGCAGGTTAATTGAGCTTCTAAAAAGGAGCTTCCCTCTCTACAAATGGAAATTTATCAAGACCCACTTGATGAGTCACTACATCGACGCAATTCGCCGTGCAGGCCCTCCACTCCACTATGATGCAAGCTTGTTTGAGCACTTTCACAAGGACCATATTAAGAGGCCCTACCGTGCATCCAACAAGCGTGACGCGGGTGGACAAATCATCCAAGCGGAGGAGGTCCGCTTGCAACTGGATTCGCTACCTCAAGCCGAGTTGGACACTACACACGAATACAGTAATGCAATGCGTGAGGTACGTATATATTACAGTGACAAGCAAGCCTTACTTTTTGCGAGAACGATGGTACCATCCTGCTTTTTTTATAAACCTTGTACAAGCATTGAGGACGGGAGCACGTACACTCTCTAAGAGTTCATGGGGGTTGATCGTTCACGCGGGACGTCGCGAGCACCCATACGTTGGATTCTCCAAGGCTGACCCGAAGCGAGACCAATTGTAAATGGACAGCCTACATCACGACCTCCCTTATCTTCGTCGTTCCATCGATCGCGACGTACCCAACGGCTCGAACATCGACACAATTTACGTACGTTACCCTAAGCACGCTTTTGTTTGTTGCACGCCTTGCAGCCATTACGTTATGCTTTTACTAATGATGCAATATGTGGCACGCAACTGCTGTACAGGTTCATGTTGAGTTGGCCATGCCACCCGCGACGGACGAGGCTTTTTCTAGCACCCCACACCGTATCCGAGCGGTTCCGCTATTCCACAAGAAAGATTGGTTCAGTGATGTTGCAATTCAAGGAACAGGATCGGAGTGGTACGGCAAGGTGCTACTACTATTCCATGTCGGCCATGGTCTAGATCGACGCGAATTCGCATTCGTGAGGTATTATATCGAGCATGACGCGTTAGATGAATTGACCGGCTGTCGGCAACTCAGTTTAGAGGGGGTTTCTCAAAGGTACATGGTTGTAGAGACAGTTTCCATCCTTAGAGCTGTCCAATTTGTGCAGCTTGAGTCGGCAGGCCAGACATGGTTCCTCAACCATTTTCTGTTTTGATTGCCATGTGTTGCATATTTGTATATATTGTACACTAATATGAGTACTGTTTCATAAAGTAACAGGCTCCAAAATCGTGTACCTGCTTAGCGAGAGAAAAGAGTGTCGTGCGGGTGAAAACGTGTTCTCATAACACATGTTTCTTCTGATTTGACCTCGTTAGCACAACTACGCAGCACGTGGCGCATGTTTGTGCGTTTGCTGGCCTGAAACTGCGCAAGGATAGGCCTGTGCGCAACATGTCACTGCGCCAACGTCTGGATGCCCTTTTTACACTATTTCTTCACACAGTTCCCTACTACATCCTATTCCCTAGCCATAGGAACTGATTTGACCTCGTTAGCACAACTACGCAGCACGTGGCGCATGTTTGTGCGTTTGGATGGCCTGAACCTGCGCAAGGATAGGCCTGTGCGCAACATGTCACTGCGCCAACGTCTGGATGCCCTTTTTTGTCAAACATTATATGTTTACATTGTGTAGGCTATAGTGGGTTTAGCCTTAGGGGGTACAACAAACTTAGGGTTTCCTACTTGTACCCACTTTCTGCTAGTTTCATTCATTTTCTCGTTCTTACTTTCTAACATGGTATTACGAGCCTAGGTCGTAACCTAGGACCGAACGATAGGGCCCACCGTTCCGCTAGAAGCGCCCTCGAGCGCCGTATCTCATTAGCGCCCTCGAGCGCCGTATCTCATTAGCGCCCTCGAGCGCCTCTCTCCTAGTGCGCCCTCGTGCACCTCTCTTCCTCTTGCTGCCCGTGCGCAGCTCGCTAGTGCCGCGCGCGGCCTTTTCTTTTAGCGCGCGTAGCCCGCTAGCAGCCCGCGCGCGACCGTTTTTAAGCGCGCGCCGACCCCTAGCCGCCCGCGCGACCGTCGCCGCCCACGAGCAGCCCCCTAGCCGCCCGTCGACCACCGCCCAGAGCGTCGCAGCCCGCCCTTAGGCCGCCGCGACACCCCTCTAGGCCGCCGCCCGCGCGCTAGTCAGGCCCACGCACAGCCACGGCCCGCCCGCTACAGCCGCCCACGCGCACGCCCCCCGTCGCGCTCCGCCACGTAGCCCAGTCCGAGCCGAGCCGAGCCGCCCGAACCGAGCCGCGCCACCCGAACCGAGCCGCGCCGCCCGAACCGAGCCGCGCCGCCCTGGCCGAGTCGCGCCGCCCTACTGTGCCCCACCAACTACTACTACTGCTCCTACTGCTACAGTTGCTACTGCTACTCCTGCTACTGCTACTGCTGCTATTGCAACTATGGCTAGCCCCTCTGTACTAGCTTTTGATGCTGAGGGCCGCCCACTGAAGTTTGAGACCTAGCTCGATGACTTGCACCTATTCCTCCAGCTCACTGCCAAGGAGGATATCACACTGTACGATCACGTGCTAGGCCATGCTGCTGCCCCTGCTGCTACTGCTGACAGTACTGCCCGTTCACAGTGGCAGACTCGTGACGCCCACACACGCTTCGCTATTCGCAACTCCCTGCCGATCGATGAGCGTGAGCACTTTGGCCAGCACAAAACAGCGCAGGCACTGTACACTGCTGTAGTGGCACGCTACTCCTCACCTGCTTCTGCTGCGCTAGGCCGTCTCTCGCTCCCCTACCTGTTCCCCGACCTGTCCGCTTTCTCCACAGTCGTTGACCTCATCACGCACCTCCGCACTAGTGAGGCCCGCTTCCGTGCCGCTATGCCCGCTGAGTTTCTTGCCACCCACCCCCCCCCGCTCTGGCTCACTCTCTACCACCTGGTCACCCGTCTCCCTGACTCTCTTCGTGCGGTCAGGGACCACTTCCTCGCTCGGGGCAGGGCCGGGGCAGGGCCGGGGCAGAGCCGGGGCAGTTCAGGAGCAGGGCCGGGGCAGTGCAGAAGCAGGGCCGGGGCAGGGCCGGGGCAGTTCAGGAGCAGGGCCGGGGCAGGGCCGGGGCAGCTCAGGAGCAGGGCCGGGGCAGGGCCGGGGCAGTTCAGGAGCAGGGCCGGGGCAGGGCCAGGGCAGTTCAGGAGCAGGGCCGGGGCAGGGCCAGGGCAGAGCCGGGCCAGGGCCGGGGCAGTTCAGGGGCAGGGCCGGGGCAGGGCCGGGGCAGAGCCGGGGCAGTTCAGGAGCAGGGCCGGGGCAATGCAGAAGCAGGGCCGGGGTAGTTCAGGGGCAGGGCCGGGGCAGAGCCGGGGCAGGGCCTGGGCAGAGCCGGGCCAGGGCCGGGGCAGTTCAGGGGCAGGTCAGGAGCAGGGCCGGGGCAGTGCAGAAGCAGG